TGTAGAGAAACTTTAGAGAATGAAACAAACATGTTGATGCATTTAACAACATGAGATCGTCTTCACTCTGCGGCCGCAGACAGACGACCTTCAATGAAACAAGACGCTGCAAACATTTAGGATCCGTCTGTACGAACAGACCGTCCGTCCGTCTGTCCGTCTCTGTGGCAACACCTGAAAAATAATGTGCCAGATTTAATAAGAAACTCCTGATGTTAGTTTCACATTCATCAGATCCAAACTTTTGTTTCTCTTTGTTTTCACTGGATGAATCAGATTTCAATGACGCCACAGGAAATCTTGACACCTCGATCAATACTGTGATCAGGTTTTAATCAGACTATCTACTGTTTGATCCTGTGATACTATAGTTACTGTTTGAAGTGGCACATTATTTTTTACAGTGTTCTAACGTCGCCTTGGGCGACGCTGAGCTGAAACATTACCCAGAATGCAGCGCTGTTACAAATCAATATAAAAACATTCTCATGTTCTGCTGGTGAGAGAAACGTTAAAAGATGTCGGACTCCAAACCTTCATCCAAAGTTCAGCTCTTCTCTAGAAATGGCTTAATTTTCTTCATCATCGTCATCACGTGGAGGATATCTCTTTAAAAAACGATGACGATGCGTCTCTGAACTCTTTAAGGCTTCGTCGCTCTTTAAACTCCGGACACAATAGAAACACGTCGTGGTCTCTGATAGAAAAATATAGTCATGCTGTAAAAGGAGAGAACAGTCGAACACGATGGCTTGGTGCTGCGTTCATGGCACCGCCGAGGCTGGGAAATCACACCGTCAGGAGCTGATGTGAGGCTGAGAGTTATTCATGTGTTTAGAGTTTTATATAAACGTCTCCTCAGGTTAAATCTGACGGCTGGTTCTGTTCAGGCTGATCAATCAGCTGATTGACTGAGCTCCAACACGTCAGAGATTCAATCAGCTGTAAAATAACTCAGAGCTGAAACACTGAAAGTAGCTGCTGAAAAGTTTGAACAAGCCAAGAACACAAGTGTTGATATGTTTAAAATCAGCTGTTATACTGATGATGTTCTTCTTTACGTCAATATTTTACAGTGCAGAAAAGTGTCAGTGACCCTCCATCATCATTACAACACAAACAGCTCGTCTCTGATCACATGACTGTTGCAGGAAGTGATTAAACCACGGACTGTGTGAACTGGACATAGAGAAGCATGAATACATAAAGAGTGGGATGATCCTGTGTAGGGATGGGTCACGATTTTCGATTTTCGAATAGTCATTTTATTTTTGAAAAATCGATTTTTTAATGCGACTATTACTATTCGCCATCTTATTTCCCCCTTTATTTGACATGCAGTTCAGCTCCTAACCGCACCAGGGCAGTCTAGGATTGCTACAGCAGTGTGAGATGCTCTTCTACAAACAGGAGAAACATGCAGAGACTACTGTCTGTTCCACCCGAGTATGTTCGGGCCTTTAAAGATGAATGGATGTCTATGTGCGTGGCTCGGGGGGGGGGCCTGCAGATTAAACATTTATCTAAACATTTTAAACAGCATAAGATGAGAGGACGGCTGAAGAGATCAGAATATTGCCGGGACAGTTTTGGAGCTGCTTTTTAGATCCATGAATTATCTTGGAAAATGCCGGGGCATATGCATCGGGACGTTTTCACAGCACCTGATGATGGAGCAGGTACGTTGCCGAGGGGACGTGAGCGGCTTAAGCGAACAGACGACTAGATGTCGACACCATTCACAAGGGAACATGCAGTCCAGAGAGATGTGTCTGAGCAGAGGGAGCGCAGATTCTTTGGACGAAAGGAACAACCAATGTAAAAACATCTGAGCAGTTTTCCTGAGCAGTAACTCCTAAACTCAGACGCCAGAATAAATGTTCAACTGTAGGTTTGTGTAAACCATGGAGAACATTTGTACCTTATTATGTAACGGATAACATTGTGGTTAACGTGTGGTTATGTTTAGGCACAAGAACTCTTGGCCATGGTCAGGAACAGATCGTGTTTTGGTGGCACAAGCACGGCTGGAAATGCTGTTGATGTTTCACTAAAGAAAGGTTTTGTTGTTTGTTGGTCTTGAACAGCAGTCTGCAGCTCACAGCTGTCTCACCTAAGCGTGTGCTCATATGGGCCGCACCACTGCACAGCACCCCTCGGCGAAAATACGTTCCGAAACGCATGCTTGTACGCTTTCATCAGCTCACCGTGTCACGTTAGTAACATTAGGAGGTCTGGAGGACGAGGTCATTTCTAATGACGATCGTGTCCACGCCGGTCAAATCTGTCGGGTTGTGGGAAAACTCAAATCTTCTATGTTTTGTGTCGATCACATCCAACATGAGTTTCATTCTGACGATACCTGGAACATGTGTTTGTGAAGAGGACTTTCATTCAGACGTACAGACGAGTCCTCTCACACAGCGGACAGGATCACGTTGACTTCTGTGGCAGCAGATTACGAACTTTTCCACAGTAGCGTGTGACGTGTACGTCGTCCTGGACGTGCCAAACACTGTTAAGTAACACCGTGCAGCACGTGGCGTCTGGTAACACTGACCAGTGTCTGACTGTTTCTCCTCTGAAGCCCTGCAGTCAGTCAGAACATGTTTCAACATGTTTGTACAGTTTGAACGTCGATCGTGATAAAAGATAAAATAATTCTTCTGAAACTAAAGATCTTTGTTTTTGGCTTGTCTGGACTTTTTGCAGCGTGCTGACAATATTATATATTATGTTATTTTTACAGATTAAAGCTAATAAACGACATCAGCGTCACTCAGCTCCTGACCGTCCAGCTGTGTGTGTGTGTGTGTGTGTGTGTGTGTGTGTGTGTATCAGCAGCCTCGTCGTCACACACAGAAGCGTTGCAACACGTTAACAGCGTCATCACAGGGAGGAGCTTCAGACGCTCCGCAGCAACAACAATAACAACAACCTGCAGGGCAGCAACAACAGTCAGGTCAGATTACCGTGGCAACCACAGAGCTCAGCTAGCATCAGAATCAACAACAACAACAACAATAACAACAACAGTCTTTTTAGGAGAACCGTGACACATGACAGCGTCACTTTGTGTTTTGTAAAAACTGCAGCTGTTTTTTTGGGCGTGTGCAGGATGACGATGATGTTGCCACAAGTTTAAAACGTCAGAGGAGCGTCAGTGACGCACGGCGAATGAGCTGCACGCAGGTCAGCTGTCAGGAGGGATTCTTATTGGTCAGAGTGCTGCAGGTTCACTTCACTGTTGCAGGTAAATCTACTGACTTCACAACCTATTCTGAAGCTTTCGACCACATCTTGCCGTCGGTTGTCAGGGAAACGGTTTAGTTGCCATTTGATAAAAAGAGCTGGGTAAAGTCTCCAAATACGGCGCTCAGAGCGTGCACCTCTTTCCATAAATGTGGCGTCAGGATCGTTTGAATTTTTCAATTCTGCACTCTGACCGCAAATAAAATTTAAAAAAAGAAGTTTAGATAACAAAAACATTTTCATATTTTTCAGTGTTTTGGCGTATTAGCGTCCCACATGCATTTTTCCTTGACGACGCTGACTTTTCTAAAGCAAGGCCACTTAGGACCATTTAATGCATTCTCTTTGACCGTTGTGACGTTAGCCATGCACCAGGGCTGTACCCGACATGTTGCCATGGTGCAGTTTTAGTTTTCTACAGACAGACTAACTCTGTCATGCCTCCTCTCGTCAAATCAAAAAATAGAAGAACTTTCTAGTAAACAAACACAGTGTGCACATTTTTCTGACCTGATGTGCCGTCACGTGAACAAAGCCATGAGGAACATTAATGTGAAAGTCCAAATGATGAGAAGCCACTTTACAGAGTCCACGACGAGTCACACTCGAACTAAAACACAGAAGCTGAAAAGTATTTTTCAAAGTGTTCAAAAGTCTTTAAAGGGCCAGTGTGTAAAATGGGTTGAAAACAGTGACATCAGTGGCCAAATTCTAGATTGCAGGGCTCACTCGCTCACCCCTCCCGTCAGGTAAATGACGGTGGCCTCGTAGGGACAAAAAGCCTTGCGCGCGAGTTTTTCAGGAGTAGGTCTATCTAGCGACGAGGTGAATGTTTATTTAGAAATCTAAGCCATGTTACAATATTGTAATGAATCCCTCACGAGCAGGAGACCAGAGGAGCGTTCGGGAAAAAGGCCAGTTTATTTGAGCACTCCAGAAACTCCGGTAACACTCCAGGGGGTAAAAGACTCCGTCCCAAACTGTGACTCTTCTAGCGTAACAGACACACTTCATACACACATACTCGTTTACCATAATGAGTGGGGACCCCCCTCCCCTCTCTGCTCCACCAATCTCCAGCCCGCACACTGACTGACAGCGTAGCCTGTAAACAGAGCTCAGCTGTTTATTTAGCCTAGTGATATCTCCGGACTATAGTAGCTGCAATGGACGACTTTGAACGCGATTTTGAAGAGTTTCTTGTAGCGGACACAGACCCAGAGCCATACCTGTTTGAGCCGGAGCATACAGATGAGGAACTCCATGTGTTTGATGCTGAGCGGGCGAGAAGAGAGGCTGAATGCACAGAATGGGATTCGGTGCTACCATCGTTGGGGAGATATATCATCAGGAGGAAAAGCGCCGCAGAGAGTGCATCACAAGGAGTGAAGTTGCGTCTTCTTTTCCTCGCAGATGACGGTTCGGGTTCATTCTCTCCTGTTGCGTGGTAAGTGTGGTCCATTCACAAACTTTATAACTAAAAAAACTTTTCACTACTCTCCATCGACGAACTACTAACACTCTCTGCTGTTTCCTCCTCCTTCTTCCTTCCTTCCGCTGTCTTCGTTGGTTTATTTATACACGCGAAACGCGTTCTCTGGCTGGCTGGATTGTCCGCTCGGTCTGCCGTACATACATGGTGGCGCAAGATGGCGACCTCTCTAAAGCAAGGCCCTTGCTATATATATATATATATAAAAGCATAATTATAAGGCTACGAAAACCAAATGAATTTTATTTTATAGCGATTATACACTTGTATGAACATATTAATGGGTAGAAGATTCAGATTGACAATAAACCATGCCAAATATTACACACTGGCCCTTTAACTGAACTGCGACGTCTGAATGAATCTGATTGTTCTCATAAAAACTTGTGGCAACATCACTGCAGAGTTACAACACCATGAGTCCGAGGCTTTCAAGGAACAAAACATTCATCAGAGCTGCTCAACAAACATCTATATTACGTCTGGAATGAACGCTGAAACTAAAATGATTAGCAGAGATTAATCAGTAAAACGAACCCCTCTGTCAGCGCGTTAGAGCCGAAGGAATGTGACTAATAAACTCTCTGTTCTCCTGCAGAAAATATACAATCTGTCACACACAGGAACTTTTACAGAGAAAGAACTTGGCTGTTTAAAATCTCTGAGCGCCTGCAGCTCAGGTCCATCATCATCACCATCATCACCATCATCATCACCATCCCTCCTCTGTGATTGGTCAGTTCAAAAATAATGCTGAGGAGTTCAGTCCAATAACAGGCCATGCATAACTGGAGAAAGGCGTGGCCTTTACAAAAGCGGCCAATAAGAGCGAAGCAAAAACCCTTAAATGGCCCTTAAAGTCTGAAGGGATCCGTCAGAGGCGAGTTTATAAAACGAGTAAAAGTCATCAGGGAGTCATCAAATCAAGCGCGCCCTCGACAGTCAGGAGCCACGATGCCGAGTCATTTTAAACAATCTGCAGAGAAACAGAAATAAATAACCACGTTTTAAAAAAACAGACGATGACGAGCAAAAAAACCCCGAAAAGAAGATCTGAGATAAATCTGCGTCTCCAGAAGTTTCCTCATGAATATTAACGAGGCTCAGGTCAAACCTCGATTTAAAGATGTGACAAACTGACAGGAAGCGGCGTCTCACTGGCCTGAAGCTCTTCAGTGAGTCCGACAATATTAAATCAGTGTTTTTCCAGTTTGCTGCTTTTCTCCATTTTATCTCAAAATAAATCTTTTTCTGTTGTTCACAGAAGAACAGTCACGTCTGTTAAAAACTATCTTTGTCCTAAAGTCTTGTTGGTGGTTGCAGCCTTCAGCAGAAGAAGAAGAGGAATCCCTCCACCTCATCTGTCGTCACGTGATTTCTTTTCTGTTGGCTTCTCCAGATGCGTTCAAGTCAAGAGAAGCGTCCCGTTTTTTCCACGACCCCGTCACGGTGTTTGAGCGCCGCTATGAAACCTCTGAAAGAAATGAGGGTTAGAGGAGGATGAAGCCCAGACATCCACCTGCATCTTTAAAATATTCTGTCAGCAGAGGAGTTCAGAAGCTGCGGCGTCTCCAGCGTTCACCAAACTGGGACTTCAGTCTGTTTTGGACGATGATTCTCCAGCTGCGAATATTCCACCAGTAAAAGGTCCCCATAAACCACCAAATCTCCCAGTCTTACCAGTCAGGCGACAGCGCCCAAAAACTACGTGGTTCCTGGTTTGAGTGGAGAGTCCCAGATCCAGTTGTCCTCCGACCCTGCGGGAGGCGATGTGAGTCCTGAGCCCGGTGAGGAGCTGCGTGAGGCGGGCAGGAAGCTCAGGGTTTCTGGGGGCCGGGGGAGAGAACCACGGGGGTGGAGAGACCGTCGACGCTCAGAGCCGGGATGTGGATCTGATTACTGCCATTAGTGGGAAACTAAAGAAGAAACAGAAACAGAGAGATGAAGGTTTAAATTCACTCTTTTCTTCGTGTGACATGAGAGCTGGATCACAGAATATTACAGGATTCATCTGCTACGACATGTTTCCATATTTCTGTGAGACTGTAAAACGTACTGAAGTACTGATGCCATTAAAGACTACAATCACCACCCTGTGGTTGTATGACTCCGCCCACCAGTCCACCCTGTGGTTGTATGACTCCGCCCACCAGTCCAGTGTCTCTGACAGTCTCCATCCATGTCAGTGAAAACATGGATGCTTCACACACAGAAGATCTATACAACGTCTCCCCTTCTGTTCCTGAGGTATGACGCTGAGTAATGAACAGAGAAGTGTTTTATGCAGAACATTATGAGGTCACACTGATCTTTCACCGCAAAATTCCCTGTTCTTGAGATACTGCGTTCACAAGAATGAGACGGACGAGGTCACAGTCACCTTGACTTTTGACCTATGACCACTAAAAACTAATCAGTATATTTTCAGTTCAGATATTTGTGTCAAGTTTGAAGAAATGCCCTCGAGGCGTTCCTGAGACATCATGGTCACAAGGACGGGACAGATGGTCAACCCGGAAACATAATGCCTCCAACAACGGCTGTCGCTATCACGGAGGCAGAAAAATCCAGTGCCTCCAAAGCGCTCTAAAACGCTCCCAGCTGGGCGTTTCCTGAGGATCACCTGGTGTTTTCAGCCGGGATAAAACACTTTGGTGGACACGGGGCCTTACTGACAAAAAAAGAGAGAGGAAAAGAAAGAAAGAAAAAAAAAAAGAAGCAGTTCACATGTAACGGTTACAAAGGTTTTATATTCTCCAGTAAAACCATCCAGGTGTAACAAACCAGGTAACAGAGAGAGGACAAATAAAACTGAGCTTGAACATTTATTCCTCTCCATGAAAATCCCATAAGAACACAGAACGTTAAGGGCACGACTCCATATAGAATTTTATTTTCAAGCAGAAAAGCAGTGGCAGGGCGCTGGGGAGGAGGCCTACTTGCTTTTTTTCGTGACGTTCTGCACCTGGGTTTTGTTTCTACAGTATGACACTAACGTCAGCCACGTAGTTAACATGACGCCACATTAACAGAGGGTTGACTACACAGTTAACTTCAAGCTCACAAAGCTAACGGTGATAAAAGCACATTCAGCAGCAACACTCAGAGTCCGCCGGCCAACTTGCTCCCAAAAAAAGCGGCAGTGACGTCAAAAGTTCAGAGATTTTCAACTTAAACCATTCAAAATGGTCGCACAAAAAAGGTGGAGTACTCTGAGACAAGATGCCGGGCGCAGCACCTTTTCTCCAGGCAGCCACATGCAGCCTGCTACGCTCACTCCTCATTGATGACACTTGAAAAAAGACGCTGAGACAAAAACACTATGTGGACACAGACCCTGAGATTATTCTGTTCACACTACAGGTACAGGATTCACACCACATCTCTTCACTGAACCAACTGTTGATACTTTTCCAGTAATTACAACAGAAATCATTCACAAGTGATTCAGGAGTTACTGAACTGTAAAATGAAGCTTTGATAAAATCTACAGATGTTTGATGTTTCAGAAACAGAGTCACTGAAAATAAAATGATAAAATTAATGAATTACAAATTAATTTATATAAAGTATTCATCCCTCACTGGTTCTGTTAAAACAACACGTGAATCAGATTTAATGTTAAACATCTCTGAGAGATTTTATATTTTATAATCAGATCTGAGAAACATTAAAGCTGCTCTAATCCTATACATCTATAACACACACACACACACACACACACACAGCTAAGTGATTCTGTATAATCTGCTGAGTGTTTCATCTGTCCATGAAGCTGTGTCTTTATGTCTTCACTCATCATGTGATGTGACAACAGTTTGAGAAACAATGAATCAACGAATAAAGAACAAAACTAAAGATTCAGACTCTTTATTATTATTATTATTATTATTATTATTTATCACTGTTTCTTGTATTTTTGTATTTTCTTTTGCATGCCTAGTTTTTAAGTTTTAAGTTTTTAAGTCTAAATTTTTTAAAATTTTTAATCCGACTCCTTCTTGACTGCTGTAACACTGGAATTTCTCAATTGTTGGATCGATAAAGGTTTATCTTATCTTATCTTAGTTGTGTTCAGCAGGTTCCAAATCGCACTGCCTTTTATTTTAAATTGAATGATACCAGTAAAAAAAAATCTTGCTGCACCTTGTTATTGTTGCCAGGCAACCACCCCATCACCTCCTCACCCTAACCTTCCTGTGTGATCAATCTACAGTTTGTGTATCCTGCAGTAATCAGTGTGTAGCTGCTGCCATGTTGAGGCAGAGGGTGCTGTCTGTAGCTCTGGTTGAGGGTGAGAGGCTGTCAGCAGATAAACAGAGATCTGTGTGGGTACATGAGACCCTAAAAAAGAGGCTGGATCATGGGGAGTACCACCAGTTGGTCCAGGAGCTTCTCCTCCATCATGGACGTTTACAGTACTGCACTTATCTGCTGTTTTCTATTCAGATGCTGCTAACTGTGCTTTGTAAAGTCGTATAGCTCTGGGTATCCAGCAACCACTACCACCAGTTTCTCCTCCATTGGTTACCAACTGTAAACTGGATGTAGTGACCACCACAGAAGCCCCGCCTCTCAAATCATCCCATTGGACAATGAGGAAAAGCAGAGATGACGTGGGGCCTTTTTACTGCTCTGAGATGAAGTTTTCTCAACTTGAGGAGTTCAGAGCGCTCCGACAAAAACTCCAGGCGCCTAGAGCGCAGAAACACGAGGAGCGTAGCAACAACACGAGCAAAAAGTTTAATTCTCATTAAAAACTGAACAAAAAGCCTCCAGCTGCTCAAACACTTCCTGTGTGAACAGAGCCTGATTAACATTTTGTCATCATTCTCTGATGATAACTAAAGCTGCAGAATTAATTAGAAATCTGTTTTACGGTTTTATCTCAGACAGCTACAGACACCCTGCTGTGGCTTATACATGTGTGACAACTGAATCTCAAACAGACCATTTTTTAATTGAGAAACAAGTTATCATAAAAAATGAAATAATTTTTGCACAGTTTTTTTTGTTTTGGTGTAAAAATGTGTCACTTGGTGGAATATCAACACAACTTCTGTGTAAGAATGAAAATATTTAATTCATTTTTAGGATTTCTGCTGAACAGCAAACCAACTTGAGATGAGTAGTAAATTAATTTGGTGCCATCCTGTGTTTCCCGGCTGAGCCACAAGGAGGCAGCAAAGTGTCACAATCACCAAACACACCTCTTTATGAAGGCGGTTTGTTTTCTCATCAGAGGAAGAAAATTATTCAACGCAGCAGAAATTACAAACTGTTTCCTAACTGACACCAAATCAGCTGTGATAATGATGTTTACAATAAACAGCGTCAACATTATGGTGCTGTAATGTCCCACGCTGACACAAGCTCCTGAATGTCTCCTTAATAATGCTGATTTATTTGCTCTTTATTTATTTATTTATTTATTTATTTATTTATTTATTATATTTCTCAGACAGTAGTTGTGGTTCAAACAGAGCTGTGTGGATCTTCAGACGGACACAGACTCTGTTTCAGATGAAGCTTTTAAACGTCATGTTTCAGCTCAGTGACACAGACACAAATGTTTAAATCTGGACACATTAACGTTTAATGTCGGTCCAGTTTTAGTTTTAATGATTAAACTGAAATAAAAAAATAAACAGAACAGACAGCAGAGAGAAAATGTTGTTTATGGTTTGAGTGAACTGAACCTTTAATAACTGTCTGTTAACAGAAAAACAGATGGAGAAAAAACTGAGCCAGAAACCTGCAGAGACACCGGCTCAGTGTGTGTGTGTGTGTGTGTGTGTGTGTGTGTGTGTGTGTGTGTGTGTGTGAGACCTGGATCAGGTACAGGTACATGCAGTGCACAGTGTGTGTGTGTGTGTGTGTGTGTGTGTGTGTGTGTGGTAGAGGAGATGTGAGGAGTTTAATTAGAATAAAATGTGCTAATTCAGACTCAGATTAAAACCAATGTTTCCAATAACGCAGGAGTTTTAGAGAATCCCACAATGATCGTATCTTGTCTCACAGTTTTTGAAATAAACTCTGCAGGATTTCCTAAAATAAAAGTATAGACTCACACAGAAGAAATGATGACTGTGACCCACTCCCAGTGTGTGGTGTGTTTATCTGCAGAGACTCCGCCCCCTGACTGGAGTTTATTATTTAATGATGCAATGATTGTAAAATACGGTCGTTGCCATCTTGGTTTTTGGAGCCAGAAGTGACCGTATTTAGGCAAGAGGCTGGAGCTGTGGAGGAGTGAGGGGTGGATCTGACTTACAGACTGTGGTGACTGCAGACAGCCCGTCACTCAAAGAGGCCCCGCCCCCTCCATTCTGTGTAACTTTAATCCTTAATAAAATACAAACAGATGAGTTCTATATAAACTCAGTCTGTACAGGCGTCATGAATGTTGAAATGAGCTCCAGAGACCAAACTGTTTTTGTACCAGGCTGTAAACATGTTTATTTCTACATGTGAACATGGAGGTCTGTGGGGACTGACTCACTGTTGGAGCCAGCCTCTAGTGGACATTAGAGGAACTGCAGGTTTGGTACAGCCTCAGAGGTTGCTGCTTGTCCTGTGTTTATTTAGGAGAGTTTAAACACATCATTATGTAACTCAGTGCAACCTTCATGAGCTTTTGGTTCTGGCAACCAGCTGCTAACTACTAACAGCTAACATTAACTAGCTCTCCTTCTGCTGATGTCATCACAGATTTGTCACTCATAATGTAACACCATCAGGGAAACAACAGGCTGCGTCCTCTGACACGCAAAAAGGGAACTTACAGCAAAGATCTGTGTTCGCCCCAAACACATTTTCTATTGTCCCCAGGAGCAGTCAACGAGGAGAGATATCAGCCCATTACTAACGTTTGGCCAATACACCAGCGCATCCCTGTTCTTATTGTCTTCTTACTTTCTGTGTTCGGGACGTTCCTGGGTACGGCACACAGGTGAGGTCCAGACTTAATAAAAAGTGAGGGACCAGGTGTCAGACCTTCAGCACCATGCATCCAAGAGGAAGCTATGAAAATGGTGGACACAGCACTGAAAATAAAAACATGCAAATCCAGCGAGATGAAATGCAAAGTGGACGAAGGTGGATTTGACTTTCACTTTCACGTTCGCTGGTGAAACTGTTAACAAACAGAAACCAACAGTTCCTGCAGAGGACACCTTTAATGTTTCTGGAGATAAAGTGAACAGACACTTAGACCTGCTGGTGGCGCTACAGAAAAAGAAAGAAGGTCACCATCAGGATTCACCTGAACAGAACTTCATGGAGCTGCTTTTTAGATACGTATCTAAAGCCGAGTGTTGGACTGACAGATCCTGCTGTGTGATAATGCGCGTGCGTGTGTGTGTGTGTGTGTGTGTGGTAACCTGTATGAAGGTGAAGAGCAAAGCCACAGTTAACACTCTGCACACAAACCTGTGAAACATTCAGTGGTTGTGGGTTTAAGTGTGATCTGAGCTCTGCAGACCTGAGAACAGCCTAAACGTGATACTTTCTGTTTTTTACAGAAACTCGGATCAAACAGGCGACTTGAAGTTTGACGGTGGAGTTGCTCCTTTGAAAACTTTTTTTTAAAAAAAAAAAATCTTTTTTTTATTTTGGTGGGTCACAGTCAAGCTGCAGAGGACCAGGAGCACTTCCTGTCATAAACAACAGAGTGACAATAACACCTGAAATGACTGAAAGGTGGTATAAAGCCAGTGTTACTATCAAAAGATCATTCTGTTGAAACTGCACGTTGTGCTGAAAAAATAAGCGAGATTACTTTTCTTTAGAGCGCTGCTCATGCAGGCGGTGTGGCTGCTCTAACCTGTTAACACAGGTGCTGAAAAAAAAACAACAACAAAAACCCCAAGAGGTTCCACGACACACACATGCTGCTCATGCAGGCGGTGTGGGCCGGGTGCTAAACTGGAAACACCACTGATAATCTGTACTTTTTCTGTAATCTTGCTGACAAACAGACCGATGCACAAACTGGGCTGTTTTTTAAACGCTGTGAAGTTACCGTCACTGAAACAACAGTTCCTGAAGATGTTTCACATTCAAATTCTTCAAGCAGCTGCTTTTATTTTTATTGGGATTTTTTATGTTATATTTGTGTTCTGTTTTTAAAAATCGACAGAGAATGTGTTGCTGTCACGATCAGGGTTATGCACAGTGGGCTCGGTGTATTACCTGGAAGGAGAGTTTGGCCGGGGAGCGCGGAGCAATGGGACTCAGTGTGCTCCAGAAGTGGATGGTGGAGGGAAGAGGACTGGGAGTCAGCAGGACTGGAGTCTGGACACACACACACACACACACACACACACACACACACACACACGTTATCAGAACAAAAGAAAAAAACACTGCAGAGCTCCTCTGTATGTCACACACAGAGACACACACACACACACACACACAGACTGACAGGTGAGTGTTTACCAGAGCGTGGGAGGTGATGACAGTCGGTGTGAGCGTGTTGGTCGCTGATCCGGGAGCCAATAAACTGTTGACAGCTGCATTCACCTGAAGAGGAAACACAGGATGTGATGTCACACCTGTCATAGCTCCAGCTGATCCCAGATGCTCATTACATTTTAAATAAAATGTTACTAATTAATTAGCTCATAATTATTCAACGATGAGTTCAGAGAACAGGTTAATACAGTCACTGTGTCTGTAGCTACAGTCAGAACACTGAGAGGCTGCTGACCTTATCCAGGGAGAGGCCTGGGGGGAGGGAGGGGGAGGAGGGCAGCTCCAGGCCCCGCGGCTTCTTTGGTTTGGGAGGAGCGGCCTCTGAGGTCACCGTAGAGGTCACCGCTGAGGAGGAGGTCACTGGAGGGACGGAGGGATCTGACACACAGAGACATGAAAATGGTGTTTGTTGTGACAGAAAAACTGACGTGAACACAGTGACTGACTTTATGAAGGAGGGACATCCCGATCTGATCGATCAGTATCTGATCCATCAGTTTCAGGACCAGATGAGTACAGAGTTAAAAGACAATCAGATCTGATCCTCAAGACACAAACATGCCTTAATCTGATATAACAAACTTGTGTTTATGTTTCCACACCAACGTGCTGTTTAACAGTCAGATTCTCAGTTTAATAAGATCAGACAGTTTCAGCTCCACTGTGTGTCTGGAGCTGGACTTATGAGTTGTTGAGAATAAAACACACTTTGCTTCAGGCCTGTGAGAGACAGAGAGAAGTGTGAACTCACTCTATCACCCCAGTAACCAGCTGAAGCCTCAGAGGAACGACCCCTGAGGTTACTGGATGTGGGAATAATATCTGGAGGCCGGTGCTGTGTGATGTTGTGTTTGTTCTTTCCTTAATACTAATATTAAACTACGACTGGGCCATGTGGCAAAAATATGATCCTGACTTTTTTGTTCAATATTGATAAATATCAGTATTTATCGCTATACAAAATTTGATAATGCTGCCAGTTTGTGGAGTACCAAAGAGTTGGGGTCTCTAACTGATGATTTGAATCTTCAACTTTCAGGGAGCTGCTCTGCTCACTATCCGTAAGTGCAACAAGGGGAGACAGCGTGCACTTTTACATAGAACAAAACAACAGCATCATCATGTGGCTCCAGTGTGTGATGTCAGACAACATGGTGGCATCGCAGAGTCAAAAGAGGCGTGACATGTAACACAACAGCGTTGGCCTCTAGTGTGACATATAACAAACGTGTCAGCAGCTCTTTATAAACAATAACAATGACATCACGTGTCAATAACAATCATTTAGCGTCCCTGTTATATGGCGGCTGATCTCGTCCTCTGCTCAGAGGGTAAGGAGCTCCTGGACCTCATTGTTTGAGTTAGCTGCTAACTGCCAACAGCTGCTGTTCTTTTCTTTGAGTTAACTGCTAACTGCTATCAGCTGCTGTTCTTCTTCTTTGAGTTAGCTGCTAACTATCAGCTGCTGTTCTTCTTCTTTGAGTTAGCTGCTAACTGCTAACATCTGCTGTTCTTCTTCTTTGAGTTAGCTGCCAACTGCTAACAGCTTTTGTTCTTCTGTGAATTAGCTGCTAACTGCTGACAGCCGCTGTTCTTCTTCTTTGAGTTAGCTGCAAACTGCTAACAGCGGCTTTTTAAATCTCCTGCCGTGGGTTGCACACATAACACCTTGTCAAAATCTCACACCCTTCCTAGCAGCTGTTATTCATACAGACACCGTTTCGGCACTGTTATTACCTCCGATGCCACCTTAAAGGCGAGACAACTCTGTCTCCCCCATTCTGTGATTGTACCTTTTATAAAAACGATGAGGTGGAATAACGGTGTGAATTACCCACCTTGAACAGGCAGTGTAAAAAGGGCTACTGTAACAACTGATCTATCCGCCTCACGGTTGTGCGCCTCTGCAAACCTGTTTAGGTGCAGTAAGAGCTTAATCCACGTCTGTGAAAACATGGATGCTATACCTGTTAGCGTGTCCTTGCCCTCCCCCTCCCCTGCAGGCTGCTGACCTCCGACTCCCAGCTCCATGCAGGGGGGGGGTGGGCTCTCCACGATGGTGAGGGGGGGCTCTGGATCCCCTGGGCCACAGACCAGCTGAGGGACCTGGAAGAAGGAGCAGAGAGACGTCATGAGTCATCGGTCTGAACCATGACTCAGCAGAGATCTTGACTCTCTTCATCTCCTCCTCTCACCTGATCCACCTGTTTCTCCCCCATAGACACCATCTCCAGCAAGTCCTCCTCTGATGGCTGGGTCTCCTCCTTGATGACGATTGGTGGAGGAGGAGGACGTGCAGGGGGAGGAACAGAGGGAGCAGGAGCCACCACGGCCGCCGGCTGCTGTGGCTGCTGCTGCTGCTGGGTGGGAGGGGGGTTGATGATGACGAAGACAGGTGGAGGGTGAGACGGGTGAGGAGCAGTGTGGGGGTGAGGAGCAGTGTGAGAGTGAGGAGCAGTGTGGGGGTGAGGAGCAGTGTGGGGGTGAGGGGGAAAGCTGGCCGGGTTGTTGACTCCCCCGCAGTCGTCCTGCTGAGGCCCCTGGGGGCCCATTGGTACGTGGGGGGGAGGCGCCGGACTCACTGACCCCCCAACAGGACCCAGGGGGATGAGGGGGGTGAGGGAGGATGGGTCCGTGACGCTGGTGAGATAAATCTGAGGAGGGTCACTCAGAGGAGGTGCAGGAGGATTCTGGGAAGGAAGGAGAAACCAGGACTTAACACAGAGTACAGACCAAGGCAAAACTTTACCACGGACTTTGGACCAGTTTATGACCAGTTTGTACCTGGGACAGCAGTGGGGCGGGGCCTGATACTGACCTGTGATTGGCTGGTGGTGTTGGCTGGTATCTGGGGGCTGAGAGCCGGAGTCGGACACGGAGACGGCTGAGTGACAATCACCTGGAGAGCAGAGTCAACAGCTCCACCCACTGACGGAGAGGACTTAGACTCTGATAACACACAGACCTGAGAAGGAGGAGGAGGAGGAGGAGGAGGAGAAAAAAACAGAAAAAGGCATCAAGGTGGAGACAATCTCAATGGTCATCTTTGTTCTATCAGTGTTTATTCTGCAGATTTAGATTAATAATGCAAAATATAATTAGCAGATCTATTATGATGTCTCATTCGTCCCCGGCTCTCTGAAGCTCAGTGCGCTGGCATTTCCTGGTAAAGATGGTGGGGCAGCACAAAGGTCCCCGGGGACCGCCAGTAGACAATAACCTTGTATTTTAAGGTTCATTAAACTTCCTGTTATCTTACATCACAACATCTGCTGTGACAGCTGATGATTATTCACTCATGTCAGTGATGGCGTTTTACCGTCCAGGGGAAGTGCCGTGTTTTTTCCCGATGGTGCTCCAGTGTGATAATGTGACTGTGCTGCTGATCGATACTGTAATGACTCATGTCGATGACCTGATGATGTTTTAATGTCCACATAACACAACGTGTTGAAACACCATCGTCACCAGCTGATGCTACTTTTAATACTTCATATATCACATCTCGCACAAGACCAGTTTTGTTGTTGTTTCCTGTTTACGTCCTGTCAGCTACCCCGTTAACAAACATTCCAATAACAGGAAATACAAAGAGACTAATTTAGAATGTTTATGATGTAGAATTTGAAACGGTTTATGATCAATTTAGATTACTCATATCAAAAAAATTTTATCCATGGCTTCAAAATCATGTTTAACTGCATCTTCACACACTCACCTCTCTGGGCGTGCGGTCGAGCTTGGGGGCGGGGTCTTGCTGTAGCAGCAGCTCTGTTTTGATTGGCCGTGGGTTGGGTGAGGCCTGCAGTGACTGGATGGTGAAGGTGGAGTAGAGGCCGGACTTCATGTAGTCGTTACGAGAACTTTTCTGGGGGCCGCTGGGTGAAGAACGCTGGGGATCAATACAGAAATATATCAATCAATCAATCAATCAATCAGTATATTCATATCAACACTGTGTCCTTATCCTGCAGCAATCTACAAAGAGAAAACAAAGCAAGTCAAAGTTTACCTGGGGTAAGCCCTTTGATTGACAGTTTGAGGCCACGCCCCCGATGCCTTTTGATTGGCTGTTGGGGTCAGCGGTGTCCCTCCTCTGGCCCTCCTCTCCAGTACGTAGCCCCTCAGACAGGGAGGGGTCGGGCTGACTGACGAACTTATACACAAATTTCTGACCGCTCACCTTCTTTATGATGTTCTGAAACACAGAAACAGAAACAAACAAACAAATAGATAATTAGAACAACAGGAAGACAAATTACTGAAAGAGGATCAGGATTTTTTTTTGTTTTGTTTTGTTCTTGTCCTAGTATTATCAGTAGTATCTTGTTGTAGTATCGCTCGGCTGAGTTTGTCGTAGTTCATGTAGTATCAGTCATACCTTGTGGTAGTAGAATCTGTAGTACCTTGTCGTAGTAGTATCAGTCGTACCTTGTCGTAGTGGTATCAGTAGTACCTTGTCGTAGTACAATCTGTAGTACCTTGTCGTAGTGGTATCAGTAGTACCTTGTCGTAGTAGTATCTCAGCGCTCGGCTCAGCTTGTCGTAGTTCATGTTGTGCTTGTTCTTGCGGAGCCCCCACAGTCGTGCAACCTCCTCGGCATCCAACAGCTTAAACTCTCCGTCCTCACCTGTCCAGGAAATCAGGTGACGCTGTCGCTGGTCCTCCAGCAGGTGGAGCAGGAACTGCCACAGCGTGATGGAGGGGTCCATGGCTGAGGGGGACGGACAGAGACGGAGAGACAAACACACATAGTTACAAGTTAAAGGTAAAGTTTCAGTACCCAAACTGTTTTTTAAAAATAGAAATGATGCGTTCAAGTTCTCCTCAGCACAAATAAGTATTGGGAGAAGGTAAACTGTAATGTTATCATGATGTGTTCAAATGTTATCAATCTAAGTTGAGCTGTTTGAAGGAGAAAGTTGTTGATGTTTTCACAGCAATATATAATTGATAAAATATTATAAAGGGAATTATGATGCATCATGTACAGTTAAAAGACTTCTGAAGAGGTTTTTTTTTTCAAATAAAGATATATTTCATGTGAATAGTGAAAGGTTGTTTCATAAACGTGTCTGACTGAATCTGTGCTCATCCAAAGGTAAAGTAATGAAGGGCTGAATGACTAACAGTTCAGTTATTTTTTATAGTGTAGATGTCTTTGTTTCTCCAGCACAGAAGGGGGAATAAATAACAACAAAAACAAACAAACAACAACATAAAAACATCGGTATCAGCTACCAAACAAAGAGTGTTTTTTAACCATTGTATCGGCCCAGAATTTCACAATCAAAGACTTTAATGGACAAAACAACAACACAGTAACTGAAGTCTGTGGTATAAAACAATCATGGAGGGACAGAGACAGAGTGTGACACACACACACACACACACACACACACACAGAGTGGACTGAATGAGAAAGTGAAGCAGCGACTCTCCAGAGAAGGTCGACATTAAACAGATTACAGTGAGAGAGATGCCAGTCAGCCATGCAAATGAGCCTCATTACCATTGGCTGACCTGTTACACAACTAACCTATGAAACACCTTGGAAACCATCGCCATGGTGAGAGACCTTTCATCAATGGTAACTAAGGCAGAAGGATGGCGGTCCAGAGAGGTAGAAACACAGACAGAGACAGAGAGACTTGAGCTGCTGCTGCTGCTGCTGCTGCTGCTGCTGCTGCCCTGCTCAAAGGCACTTCACACTCAGCGGGTCTCATTCATGAAAAGTGAGTAAATCTGTGTGTAGATTTGCACATAAAAACCTACGCTACTAAAAACCTACTCCGGATTCAGGAATGCCGCGGGAAACTCAGATTTGATCGTAAACACGTGTGTATGATCATGAATGCCAATCCATCGTAAAGTGACAGCGTGCTCCCGGTAATCAGCAATTAGCATAAATCCCCGCCCATGAATAGCCAATGACCACCATATAAGGAGGTGTAGGTGCATCCTGTCGACCTGTCAGTCATGGCGCAAACAAAGAGAGAGAGAGAAAGAAAAAAGAATTTTTCCGAAGCGGAGATCGAAATAATTTTGGGTGAAGTGGACTTAAGAAAAAAACATTTTATTTTCTTCAGTTAGTAGTGGTGTGACAGGGACGGGCAAAGTGAAGGCCTGGAGGGAGGTAACAGATGCTGTTAATGTTGTCTCCGTAGCACAAAGAACCATGTCAGAGGTGAAGCGTAAATGGTATTGATATGAAACTGGAGGCAAAGAAACGCATAAGCACACACACAAAAATACAGCGGTCACCAAACAAACAGAAGATTCATTTGTGGGGTTTTGAATGAAGTGGGAACGGGAAACCAGAGATGTTTTGGGCGTAATGGATAAACTCTAAATCAGTGATGGCTGTCGGAATGTAGAGCTATTTAACATTTATTTTAACAAATAATACGGATAACACTGCAGTTTGTATGCATCGTCTTCAAATGATTTGAATCTTAATAGCCTAAAGCTCTGTTTTATACAACGTAAATTAAACATTTTTCAAATCAGATTTATTCATTCAAATGATCAAAAAGCCACACACACACAAAAAAAAATAAAGAAAGAAAACGTGTTGTCTCAAATAATTCTTTCAGCTGGTGCGTTCTCCTTCGTGGCTCCACCACCTGCTGCTCCTGCTGAACCCAGGCACCGAGGCCGAAGAGGCTGTGATCCGGCTGTCCTCACGGATATTTTTATTATCATCATTCAACATGTAGAAAGAACGTGTAATCTATTGAGTCGATTTACATAGATAATTCACAATCATGAACCTAATCTGGATCTTAAACCTGCTAATTGCCAACTAATTTAACTAAATGTGTTATATTTTTAATATTTTGTCATTTAGAGTTAGATTATGTGTTTCAAAGGCATCTGTGTATTGTGTACATAACAAAGGGCAGTATGAATTAAAATTGTAATTTCCAATAGTGACAAGCAATATTTATGTGCTTTACTAAATTTACACAAGCACTACGAGTGGTCAGGAGCAGGAGTAGATTTTGTTAGTAGCTACGAAAAGATCGGAGCTACTAAAATATTGATGAATGCGGACATGCACGTAAATTTCCGTCTGCGAACAGTTTACACACAAATTCCTTCTGCTCACGTTTCATGAATAAGACCCACTGTGTGCACCGGCTGCAGTGAGCACAACTTTTTCATTAAGGTAACAGGGCTCCAGGCTGCAACCACATGTGCACATTTTGCATTCATTTTTTAACAGGGTTCCTGCAGACTTTTTAAAGTCAAATTTAAGACGTTTTAAGACCTTTTTAAGACCTAAACAAAAAAAAAAAAATACTATTTAACACCAACAAACAGCATTAATACACGGCAGTAAACATCATGTTCACATCTCATCAGTGCTCCAGTGCCTGATGCTTTGACTCTCATCGTCCCAAGTTTTTCAGTATATCTTCTAAGTTGCCTTGATGTCGTTACTTGTGACTGCGTTATGAGTAATAAAGTCATAAAATCATATAACTAATCATGTAACTAGATACAGTAATAGGTAGATTTGATTACGTTTTCAGACATGTCTCTGTTAGTCTAAGTTTCATCTCAAAATTTAAGACTTCTCACAAGTAAAAATAAGACTTTTTAAGACATTTTATGGCCTTAAATTTCCAGAATCAAATTTAATACTTTTTAAGGATCTGCAGGAACCCTGTTTAAGTCAGTGCGAGTACTTTTTATGACTACTTAGTACTCATTCGTGTGTCAATTTTGTTTTTTCATGTTGAAAAACAAGGATGCAAGTCCGCCTGTGTGGGCCAATGTATGTGTGCCTCTGTGTGTGTGTGTGTGTGTGTGTGTGTGTGTGTGTGGGGGTGTGAGTGTGTG